CCTCATTGTGTGCAGCCGTTCGGGGGTCTTTGGGAATGATCAGAGTGGTTACCCAAGTGGCACAGCTGTTATTAAAAGCCCTATTTATCACTGTCAGATCCCGGAGTCGCTCCCAGCGCCGCTCTCTCGCCCTGCAGCGTTTCCCACTCCGCACACGCCGCCTCCAAACGCCCGCCGTCCGCACCTTCCATTTTCCGCTCAGCTAGCTTATTGATTACGGCCGCAATTACAACCTAATCTGCGCGTGCTGCGTTATTAAAAGACATTCTCCATTGTTGGCCAATAACTAAATGGTGTCCGATCCCAAATACCATCGCTCAGCCTCGGGGGACGGGCTGGAACTGCGGGCCTCATCATCATTAGCGGAGCACGGAGAAATGGGAGCACAAATGGCGGAATTAAAGAGTGCTAGCTCCGGGGGAAGGAACAGATGAGGTCACATGTTTTTTCAGCGGCTGACAAGGGCTGCTCTTTAACTTTGGGAGTGGGATGTCTGTCTTTCAAGGTGTCGGACAATGATTAGAGCGAACAGGAAGTGCGGGAGCGTCCCAGGAGCGAGACCAGAGCGAGCCCAGAGCGGTCTGAGTCCTCTCCGACGGCGGGGACTTCACGGCGCTAAGGCCCTTTCAGGAGCTCCTCTTAATTAAGTGAGGAATTTGAGCATTAATTCAGCGCCAGCGAAAGTGCAGTGAAAATATGTCTTTAGGAGAGACACAACTCAAACTAATCAAAGTAGTGGGTTTGTAGACAGCCAGTGCGTGTGTGTGTGTGTGTGTGTGTGTGTGTGTGTGCGTGTGTGTGTGTGTGTGTGCGTGCGTGCGTGTGTGTGTGTGTGTGTCCAGAGAGAGACCAGAGAGAGACCACAGAGAGACCAGAGAGAGACCAGCGAGAGACCAGAGAGAGACTAGAGAGAGACCAGCGAGAGACCAGAGAGAGACTAGAGAGAGACCAGAGAGACCAGAGAGACCAGAGAGAGACCAGAGAGAGAGACCAGCGAGAGACCAGAGAGAGACTAGAGAGAGACCAGCGAGAGACCAGAGAGAGACTAGAGAGAGACCAGAGAGACCAGAGAGACCAGAGAGAGACCAGAGAGAGAGACCAGCGAGAGACCAGAGAGAGACTAGAGAGAGACCAGAGAGAGACCAGAGAGAGAGACCAGAGAGAGACCAGGGAGAGACCAGAGAGAGAAATATAAACAAATGAATAAAAACCTCCCTGACGAGCATTTACATCCTATTGAATCCTATTGAATCCTATTGAATCCTGTTGAATCCTGTTGAATCCTGAGGTAGACCCGTGACGAACTTTGGCCTAACACAGACCGGTCTTGACTCCTTTAATTCGGTACAAAGGCTGTCGGACGGATCTGAAATAACAAAACTAATGCGGGGTCCTCTGGGGCCTGGAAACGCCGCCGCAGCAAACCGCAGTCCGAGAAGTCTGAGAATATGATGCAAATGAAGCTGAACCGTGGCAGATCCGGCTGCGCTGGGTTTGAGTCCCTTTCAGAGCAATCAGCAGCTTTTTAAACGCAGCCCGGTCCCAGAGGAAGAAGAACTACATTAATGCATTTGGGTTTTTATGAACTCATTGTAGGAATCTGCAAAGTGCCGCAGTAAACGCTAAAGAGCTGCGTCGTGTAGAAAACTGAGATTAGGTCTGTCGGTCTGTGACTGAATGATGTTTACGTCTACATTTACCAGGGCTGGGGACTGGCACAATGCGAGGATCCTATTCTTCACATTATTCAAAGTCTCTCTCTGGTCTCTCTCTCTGGTCTCTCTCTCTGGTCTCTCTCTGGTCTCTCTCTCTGGTCTCTCTCTGGTCTCTCTCTGGTCTCTCACTCTGGTCTCTCTCTGGTCCCTCTCTCTGGTCTCTCTCTCTGATCTCTCTCTCTGGTCTCTCTCTGGTCTCTCTCTGGTCTCTCTCTGATCTCTCTCTCTGGTCTCTCTCTCTGGTCTCTCTCTCTGATCTCTCTCTCTGGTCTCTCTCTGGTCTCTCTCTGGTCTCTCTCTCTGGTCTCTCTGGTCTCTCTCTGGTCTCTCTCTCTGATCTCTCTCTCTCTGGTCTCTCTCTGGTCTCTCTCTGGTCTCTCTCTCTGGTCTCTCTGGTCCCTCTCTCTGGTCTCTCTCTCTGGTCCCTCTCCCTGGTCTCTCTCTCTGATCTCTCTCTCTGGTCTCTCTCTGGTCTCTCTCTGGTCTCTCTCTGGTCTCTCACTCTGGTCTCTCTCTGATCTCTCTCTCTGGTCTCTCTCTGGTCCCTCTCTCTGGTCTCTCTCTCTGGTCTCTCTCTCTGGTCTCTCTCTCTGGTCTCTCTCTGATCTCTCTCTCTGGTCTCTCTCTGGTCTCTCTCTCTGGTCTCTCTCTGGTCTCTCTCTCTGGTCTCTCTCTGGTCTCTCTCTCTGGTCTCTCTCTCTGGTCTCTCTCTGGTCTCTCTCTGGTCTCTCCTGGTCTCTCTCTCTGGTCTCTCTCTGGTCTCTCTCTCTGGTCTCTCTCTGGTCTCTCTCTCTGGTCCCTCTCTCTGGTCTCTCTCTCTGATCTCTCTCTCTGGTCTCTCTCTGGTCTCTCTCTGGTCTCTCTCTGGTCTCTCTCTGGTCTCTCTCTCTGGTCTCTCTCTGGTCTCTCTCTCTGGTCTCTCACTCTGGTCTCTCTCTGGTCTCTCTCTCTGGTCTCTCTCTGGTCTCTCTCTGGTCTCTCTCTCTTGCTGTATGCCCATCCTATTCTGCTGCACCCTGGGTTCTCTCGTACGATTATTCCGCTGTGGTTGTACTGTAGATAATCAGTAATGCGTGTGTGTTGAGAGCATTATCCCCTTGCAGATCCATACTTACTGTTTGTGCGGCGGACGGCCTAACGACGTGTAATGGCTTCTCTGTGAGGTACACTGAAAACTAAATGAACTGTCAGTTTTTATTATTTATTATTCAGTAGTTAAAGTTTTGGCTCATTAACGCGACGGCGCCCCCTGGAGCTGCAGCGAGGATCTCTTTTACCCCCCGCCAGCTGCAGCCACGGGCGCTACGCACGCCACGCTCACGGTCCGCACGCCACGCTCAAGGATGGCTTTTAATCATGAGGAGGAGAGGAGGAGGAGAGGGAGGAAGAGGAGGGAGGAAGGAGGTTGAGGAGGAGGAGGAGAGGAGGATGAGGAAAAGGAGGGGGGGAGGAAGTGGAGGAGGAGGAGGAGAGGGAAGAATGAGGAGGAGGAGGGGGAGGAGGAGGAGGAGGAGAGATGAGGAGCGGGTGATGTCAAGTCATCATTAAAGGGCCCTAATCTGTCATCATTAAAGGGCCCTAATCTGTCATCATTAAAGGGCCCTACTCTGTGATCCTTAAAGAGCCCTAATCTATCATCATTAAAGGGCCCTAATCTGTCATCATTAAAGAGCCCTAATCTATCATCATTAAAGGGCCCTAATCTGTCATCATTAAAGAGCCCTAATCTGTCATCATTAAAGAGCCCTAATCTATCATCATTAAAGGGCCCTAATCTGTCATCATTAAAGAGCCCTAATCTATCATCATTAAAGGGCCCTAATCTGTCATCATTAAAGGGCCCTAATATGTCATCATTAAAGAGCCCTAATCTGTCATCATTAAAGGGCCCTAATCTGTCATCATTAAAGGGCCCTAATCTGTCATCATTAAAGGGCCCTAATATGTCATCATTAAAGGGCCCTAATCTGTCATCATTAAAGGGCCCTAATCTGTCATCATTAAAGAGCCCTAATCTATCATCATTAAAGGGCCCTAATCTGTCATCATTAAAGAGCCCTAATCTGTCATCATTAAAGAGCCCTAATCTATCATCATTAAAGGGCCCTAATCTGTCATCATTAAAGAGCCCTAATCTATCATCATTAAAGGGCCCTAATCTGTCATCATTAAAGGGCCCTAATATGTCATCATTAAAGAGCCCTAATCTGTCATCATTAAAGGGCCCTAATCTGTCATCATTAAAGGGCCCTAATCTGTCATCATTAAAGGGCCCTAATATGTCATCATTAAAGGGCCCTAATCTGTCATCATTAAAGGGCCCTAATCTGTCATCATTAAAGGGCCCTAATCTGTCATCATTAAAGGGCCCTAATCTGTCATCATTAAAGGGCCCTAATCTGTCATCATTAAAGGGCCCTAATCTGTCCTCATTAAAGGGCCCTAATCTGTCATAATAATAAACTGCTCTTTTCCAATACTTCTTTAACTGATAACAGTAGTTCAGAGATATTTGAATTTCTAAATTAATTTTCCAGCCTCTAAATCTTGTTATTGTTTTCATTTCGATGTCCCGCCCTCCACCGTTTCACCAATCAGAAAGTCTGTGATCCGGGCGCCAGAACTCACCGCGTGGAGCTAATCTCACTGGTAAAGTACCATGTGGCGCAGAACTAAAAAAGACAAAACAAGGAATAAAAGCAGGATTTCTATCTTTGTGAAAAAGGTGTTGGTTATAGATTTGTTGTTGACTAAACTCTTGTCTATTCAGCTGTTATGGTCCCAGCTGGATTCGTCTGCATATCTGGCAACCTGAGTCAGGGAGAGTGGGAGAGGCTGCAGTACCACTTAGACCAGAACCTCTCAGACCAGAACCTCTCAGACCAGACCCTCTCAGACCAGACCCTCTCAGACCAGACTCTCTCAGACCAGACTCTCTCAGACCAGACCCTCTCAGACCAGACCCTCTCAGACCAGACTCTCTCAGACCAGACCCTCTCAGACCAGACTCTCTCAGACCAGACTCTCTCAGACCAGACTCTCTCAGACCAGACTCTCTCAGACCAGACCCTCTCAGACCAGACCCTCTCAGACCAGACTCTCTCAGACCAGACCCTCTCAGACCAGACCCTCTCAGACCAGACCCTCTCAGACCAGAACCTCCATGAGCCAAAGCAGTCCTAGTTTGTGACTTCCTGTTACTTAACGGTAATAGAAATAGTTCTGATTCTGATGTGTTTCTGTAAAAACCTGATCCATGATGAAGCAGAATGATCCAGGACTTACATACGACAGCATGGCCTTCAGCTCTTCATCACTTCTCACTGTGATTCTGTCGCCCACTTCGTCTTCATCTGTGACAAAACCACCGTCAATACAATAGTCATATTCCATCCATCCATGTTCTTCCCTTTAACACTAGGAGCGCCCCTAGCGGTCAACTGACCGTCACTCACTTTAATATGCTAATTAGTGTATTCAAAACAAAACGCCAGAAGTTGAAATTTTATGACTTTTTCTAGGTACTTGTTGTTTATATTTTGGTGTGTTTTGGTTTTGGAAAAAGTAAAGAAAACAAGATTTACACGCATTTTAACTTTTCTAAACCACAGCCCTTTCTGCTGCCCCATGGAGATACATGGCGCAGGGGCGACTGTTGTCATAGTAACCTTTCCCGGGGGTTTTTCGCGCCTTATAAAAATGTATCAATATGTTTTCATTAGACTCTAAAGGGACTTTTTTATTATTATTTGGGAGAGAGGGAGGAGTACAAAATGAATAGAGCTGCAAGTACACGGTAGAAGCCCTGACAGTGCTTCAAGACATTGAATGAGAACAGTCTGACGGAGGTGAGAGATGTCACATTTTGAGGTAGAAAGTGACAGCGGGGAGAACACCTATAATATTCTAAATCTGAACGTAAACCCATAGTGCATTCACGGCACGGACAGCAGTGTTGTAACAAGTCCAGAAGCAATAACGCACATGACCCGCGTAATGCCAGCCAAACGCAGGTGTCTGTGTGCGCGCTGTTGCTCCATTCTGCCTTTTCATTCATCATCAATTACATTATTATATTTATACATACAAGAAGGCAATACAGCAGAATACAATATCGCAATAAAATAGAACAATTAGATGAACTATCAAGGCAGAGTGCAGAGAGAGCGCTGTGATCCTCTCGTCACCCGCGGACACTGCAGGAGGAGAGCGACTGTGGGTCAGAAGCGGCCCTCATCATATCAATAAGGATATCATTCTTATTTCATTCAGATAACACTGTGTGTTATTCTGCACAGCGCGCACTGCAAGGCAATGATTATAATGTTGTTCTGAGCATAAAGAGCACTGCTTGTCTCAAATAAATACAAATATATATACATATATTTGTACAAATATATATACATATATTTGTACAAATATATATACATATATTTGTATTTCTAACGTGTCCCGTGTAAAATTGAAGATTGTACATTGGCGATGGTAGCCTAGCTGATGATCTTGTGTCAATACGAATATTATTATTATCTAGATAATATTTCCCACGGTGATTTCGGCCTCTAAAAAGAAAACAGTCTGGAGATGACGTAAGAAGTAGACGCATATAGCAGCGCGAAGACGTTATGGTCCCGTGCTTTTCTAAACTATAATTTATATTGTTTGAATTTACATATTGTTATTGAGTCAAATATAACATATAGTGACCGACCTTTTAGGTGTTTGCAAAGTTACAAAATAAATCTAGCCTGAAAAGTCATCGTAATTTTGATGGATCAGTTTACGCACAATGTGTCGTCTTAGTCTTTTATTTCGGCTAGAATTACAATTACTTAGCATATTTAGACAAATAATTTACACAGTTTCATTATGATCACGATTCCTTTGCAACATCAAGTTCTGGTTTAGTGAACAATCAATTTGGCAAAAGTCTGTATCAGCGCAAAATACATAGCGGTCAACTGACCGCAGGGGGCGGTACAAGGTATGTTTAGAGCACGGCGGTCCTAGTGTTAATCCATTTCTGGGTCTGGGGGGGTGGCAGTCAGAGCTACACCCAGTCACAGAGCACCAGCCCCTCACTGATCCTCCTGCAGGTGGTGAGTCCACAGGAGCTGAGATCTTTCAGTGGGAGCTTCAGGCAAAGTGGGGTTAAGTGTCTTGGCTAAGGACACAGTGACAGCAGTCATCAGTGGGAGTCGTGAAGTAGGTCTTATGGTGGACTCGAACCCACGACCTTCAGGCCCAAAGGTCGTGGGCCATAGTCATATTTATAAGTACATATATGTAACATGTTTATATACATATATGTAACATGTTTATATACATGTATGTAACAGGTTTATATACATATATGTAACATGTTTATATACATATATGAAACATGTTTATATACATATATGTAACATGTTTATATACATGTATGTAACATGTTTATATACATATATGTAACATGTTTATATACATATATGTAACATGTTTATATACATGTATGTAACATGTTTATATACATATATGTAACATGTTTATATACATATATGTAACATGTTTATATACATATATGTAACATGTTTATATACATATATGTAACATGTTTATATACATATATGTAACATGTTTATATACATGTATGTAACATGTTTATATACATATATGTAACATGTTTATATACATATATGTAACATGTTTATATACATATATGCAACATGTTTATATACATGTTTATATACATGTATGTAACATGTTTATATACATGTATGTAACATGTTTATATACATGTATGTAACATGTTTATATACATGTATGTAACATGTTTATATACATGTATGTAACATGTTTATATACATATATGTAACATGTTTATATACATGTATGTAACATGTTTGTATACATATATGTAACATGTTTATATACATGTATGTAACATGTTTATATGTATACATGCACATGTTTCATGTTTATATGTACATATATGTAACATGTTTATATACATATATGTAACATGTTTATATACATGTATGTAACATGTTTATATACATATATGTAACATGTTTATATACATGTATGTAACATGTTTGTATACATATATGTAACATGTTTATATACATGTATGTAACATGTTTATATACATATATGTAACATGTTTGTATACATATATGTAACATGTTTGTATACATATATGTAACATGTTTATATACATGTAACATGTTTATATACATGTATGTAAGATGTTTATATACATATATGTAAGATGTTTATATACATATATGTAACATGTTTATATACATATATGTAACATGTTTATATACATATATGTAACATGTTTATATACATATATGTAACATGTTTATATACATATATGTAACATGTTTATATACATATATGTAACATGTTTATATGTATACATGCACATGTTTCATGTTTATATGTACATATATGTAACATGTTTATATACATATATGAAACATGTTTATATACATATATGTAACATGTTTATATACATATATGTAACATGTTTATATACATATATGTAACATGTTTATATACATATATGTAACATGTTTATATACATATATGTAACATGTTTATATACATATATTTAACATGTTTATATACATATATGTAACATGTTTATATGTTGAGACTTACACTCGAAGGCAGTGACTGTGGCCTCTGGCATCACGTCTCTGATCGCCGCCTGCAGCACAAGATAAGAGTTCCTTTATTGGTCCCACAGTGGGGAATTGTCGGTGTTGCAGCGCACAGACAGGACAGTAGTCAGAGACACAGGGAGCACACAATATATACAAAAAAGTAGTAGCTGTATAACTTAACTATCGGTAAATGCTGTAAATGCTTCGATATCAGCCTTTCAAAATAAAATATTTATATGTAGTAGTGCAGAGTTATGTACTGTACATATAGTGCAGGATAAGAAGTAGATAAAGTAAAACAACACAACAAACATTACTATAAATAAGTAATCTTTAATTATATAGCGCCTTTCACAGACCAGAGTCACAACACCGTTTACAATTATTATTAATCTGATATGGCTCAGACGACAGGACTCACAGACACAGGTTTTATGATTTATTCAGAACAATAAATCAGAAGTTCTCTGTCTTTCAGATGAATTGTTAGTTTTAGGACTTTAGAGTGTCATGTTTGTATTTTATGAACTTCGAGTCTGACAAAGATAATAAGAATAATGTATTTGATGTCAGTGCTTTGTCACGCTGTTAAACCCTTACAGATGATGAGATCCTTTATTCATCACACAGTGGGGAATGTCAGTGTTGCATCACCAGTTACAGAACAGTAGGAATATAGAATATGTGCAGAAATAAAGAGTTGTATGTATACATCTGTACATGTTATCTGAATAATAAAAGTTACAGTACTTTTGCCTCATTGACAACTTTTTATGATTTCTTCAGTCACTGGGCAAAAAGACCCATGTTTACCATGGAGGACTTGGCTGAAGTTTGTGTTTAGAGGAATATATACAGAACACCTGCTTTCAAACAGATTACAGTCATCTGAGAACAACTACACAGTGATACTTTACATTCTGTGCAAACTCTTATATTTACATCTGTTTATGGTGTTTTAGTGTGATACTTTTACCTCTGCGGTCTGTACTGTGCGCTGCAACACTGACACACACAAGCTTCTCTTCTCATACACTCTTACATCATATATACTTTAGAGAACTTCATAGTAACTAAAGCAGCGGTTAGCATCACAGCTAACAGCTCTGAAACTGACCAACAAGTCATTGAAGTTGAGCAGGAAGGGGCAGTCCACGGAGGAGTCCATGTCTCCAGCCGGGCTCTTTATCCGGATCACGATGCCCTCCGAGTCCATGGCTTAATGTGTCTTTAACAGAGATTTAAAGACTGAGGAAGGAGGCTAACGAAGCTAACGAAGCTAACGAAGCTAACGTGCTAACCCCTGCTCCACAGCCGAGCATCCTGCTGACTGCATGAAGCTAGCAGCGGCTAACTAGCTCCTTCATGCTAGCGGAATAACAGCATGTTCTTTGGCTCAGTGTCGGTTTGTGTGACTCGGTAGGACGGGTACGGGAGGTACGGGGGGGTTTCTGGGGCTGTCACGGAGCCTGTGCGGTGAAAGAGCGAGAGCAAGTCCTGAAGCTAACTATGGAAGCTAACCGAAGCTAACAGGAGCTAACCGGAACAGCACACCCACAACAACATCCGCCCCACGAACTTTCAAAGTAAAGGTATACTCAGCCCAAATGGATCTGCACAGCGGGCCTTGCCCAGGCCGTAGACCGTCCAGGCCGTAGACCGTCCAGGCCGTAGACCGTCCAGGCCGTAGACCGCCCAGGCCGTAGACCGCCGTAGACCGTCCAGGCCGTAGACCGCCCAGGCCGTAGACCGCCCAGGCCGTAGACCGCCCAGGCCGTAGACCATCCAGGCCGTAGACCGCCGTAGACCGCCCAGGCCGTAGACCGTCCAGGCCGTAGACCGCCCAGGCCGTAGACCGTCCAGGCCGTAGACTGCCCAGGCCGTAGACCGCCGTAGACCGCCCAGGCCGTAGACCGCCCAGGCCGTAGACCGTCCAGGCCGTAGACCATCCAGGCCGTAGACCGCCGTAGACCGCCCAGGCCGTAGACCGTCCAGGCCGTAGACCGCCCAGGCCGTAGACCGTCCAGGCCGTAGACTGCCCAGGCCGTAGACCGCCCAGGCCGTAGACCGCCCAGGCCGTAGACTGCCCAGGCCGTAGACCATCCAGGCCGTAGACCGCCGTAGACCGCCCAGGCCGTAGACCGTCCAGGCCGTAGACCGCCCAGGCCGTAGACCGCCCAGGCCGTAGACCGCCGTAGACTGCCCAGGCCGTAGACCGCCCAGGCCGTAGACCGCCCAGGCCGTAGACTGCCCAGGCCGTAGACTGCCCAGGCCGTAGACCGCCCAGGCCGTAGACTGCCCAGGCCGTAGACCGCCGTAGACCGCCCAGGCCGTAGACCGCCCAGGCCGTAGACCGCCGTAGACCGCGCTAGACTGCCCAGGCCGTAGACCGCCCAGGCCGTAGACTGCCCAGGCCGTAGACCGTCCAGGCCGTAGACCGCCGTAGACCGCCGTAGACTGCCCAGGCCGTAGACTGCCCAGGCCGTAGACCGCCCAGGCCGTAGACCGCCGTAGACCGCCCAGGCCGTAGACCGTCCAGGCCGTAGACCGCCCAGGCCGTAGACAGCCCAGGCCGTAGACTGCCCAGGCCGTAGACCGCCCAGGCTGTAGACCGTCCAGGCCGTAGACCGCCCAGGCCGTAGACCGCCCAGGCCGTAGACAGCCCAGGCCGTAGACAGCCCAGGCCGTAGACCGCCCAGGCCGTAGACCGCCCAGGCTGTAGACCGCCGTAGACCGCCCAGGCCGTAGACCGTCCAGGCCGTAGACCGTCCAGGCCGTAGACCGCCCAGGCCGTAGACCGCCCAGGCCGTAGACCGCCCAGGCCGTAGACCGTCCAGGCCGTAGACCGCCCAGGCCGTAGACCGCCGTAGACCGCCCAGGCCGTAGACCGCCGTAGACCGCCCAGGCCGTAGACCGTCCAGGCCGTAGACCGCCCAGGCCGTAGACCGCCCAGGCCGTAGACCGCCCAGGCCGTAGACCGCCGTAGACCGCCCAGGCCGTAGACCGTCCAGGCCGTAGACCGCCCAGGCCGTAGACCGCCCAGGCCGTAGACCGCCCAGGCCGTAGACCGCCCAGGCCGTAGACCGTCCAGGCCGTAGACCGCCCAGGCCGTAGACCGCCCAGGCCGTAGACCGCCCAGGCCGTAGACCGCCCAGGCCGTAGACTGTCCAGGCACAT